ACCTTTGAACAAGGGAACAACCAGCGCCTTCTTCCAGTCCGATGGTAATCGGCCAGTCCAGAGAGACAAATTGAACATCTGGGCTAGCGGGGTTGACACAACATCAGCCAGCATACCTGGTTTGATAAATATCAGGGGGTTGGGGTTCGATTGTTTAAACCACTGTCGATACTATATGACACGTCCTGGTTCTGTCTCTGAGATTGTCCCCTAAATGGAATTTGGAACCTTTAACTGTTTGTGATAACCGACAGCTGTTTTGTCCTGTTTGGGACTCGTCAGCAGTGCTTACTTTCTGTGTCCCTGTCGAACTGCGAGTCGTCGGACTGGGACTTCAAACCCTTGAGCTACACGGTCGAAGGTTATCAGCTTGTCCGAATAGTTCACTCCAAACATTCACCTATCATCACTAACCCAGCGTTCAGTCGTCAGAAGTTGAGGAGGCTTATATGGTGCTTTCATGGGACTTGTGCCATAAGGATTTTATAATGATGAATCAGTCTCTCATTGCGTAACTGAACCATGATTGCGGCTCTATGCGCGTGTATGCCGGGATAGTCACCTCAAGTTCCCATTCCATGATTTTTATTCTGTTGGTTAAATAAAATGACAGCCGCAGGGGTATTCAAGCACTATGTCATCTACTTTCACAAGGATCCGTGCTCGTCTTCGCGTATCCGTTAGTTGCCTTTACCGATCGATTTTCACTGGTATCGTTTGAGTATCTGTCTATTTTCCTCCAGTTTCAATTTGACTGTTATGCTCAGGGTAGTAGAATTATGTTTAATCACAAACTGAAAGTCAAAAAAGGTGAATGGATAAGCGACTTCATTTTCGGTCCCGTGTTTCTTGTTTTTCTTCTGTGTTCGACGTAACTATCTACTGCGCTATCACAGATTGAATGAAGTTGTTATCGGATATTTTGCTATGAGTAACCAGCTATGTTCCTTCATCCCCTCCCGTTCCTCCCGCCCACCCGCACAACACACCTATCCTCCATTCCCGTGGTCAAAGATGGCTAAAGGGGAAGCGGAACGAGCCAGAAGCCTGATCAACTGGAAAACGCAACCAGCAGACTGTTTGGTACTTTCGTTAACTCAAACCGAAAAACAGTTGCGCGATTGTCAAGTCGAATTGGATAAGGCACACACGGAACTGACCAAACTTCATTGCGAACGAGATCAACTCCAGTTGGAACGTGATACGTTGGCGCAGGATTTGGAACATATTTTGAATCGGCGGCAGGTAAAGGCGTCCATCAGTTTTTTTTTACCACAGTATCAACATAACAGCCAGTTATCTGAAACCTTTAGGGGAAAAGATTTACCTGATTTTGAAAACCGGAATCTTATGTTGCAAAATAGCTCAGAATGTGTACGTGAGAAACATACGCATAAACCCGTTTCCGATACCATAGTGAATAGTTAAATGTGATAGACAGTCAATGTCGAGGCGGGACAGTTGATGCCGGAATCTTGAATTATCAAATGTTAGTTCCGAACCTAATCAAAAAGGAATGATAGGCATCTCATCTGTATGCGAGACTTAAATACTGATAGGTGGCTGTCCGAAACCTCGGGAAAATCGATCCTCAGATGAGCATCGTCGTGGCCTACTGATACGTTTATCATGATGCATGCCTGTGGCCTGATTGATGGGGTGATGGATGATGCCTGCAACCACACATGCACGCACGCACTCAGGCCATGCGGACTGACTCTATCACAATATCGATCGGCTCCAGCCAATCAGATGTTGGTATTCAGCTGTCCACGTTGATTGATTCGTTGACTATTTGAATCCCTGTTTGTGAGCATAGGGATCTCGTGAGACGCTTGAGCTAACTGTCAGCACTACTTGCTCATCGCCCTACGGACCGGCTGCGTTTACGTACTGGAAGTAGAATAATTACTCAATTTACCGCTAACTTATTTATTTTACTTCCACGGTATGACGTTTTATTGTTCAAGTAAACGAGAGCGAAATGAAAAAGACTCGAAATCGGAATTATACGCTTTACTCAACTAATAAATCCGGTACATGAGTTGTAATAGAAACAGAGGCTTATGTAATACGCAATAGACAAGGGTGTATAAACAAGAGAACTAGAATATGACACACTGGACACAACAAATGCTGATGTTTAACTCCCCCCATTTTTTTCTGTGTCTATCCCACGAAAGAATTTTGCCGACCTCCGACAACAGTTGACTCGATTGACACAGGAAAAATCCGGAACCCACAACAAGTGTTCCGCTTGTGTCAGGCCTACACACCGAGACGACAGTTTGAATCGGCATTGTGCAAAACGGGCACAGCACAGTTCTCGATCGGGCGGTGAATGCTACTACCGGCTGCCACACAAATCAAATTCCGGTCCACGAGTTGGACATTCCAATTTAAAAAGAACGCACACAATCGATCTGGCTGCTCGGTAATGATGAACACATCTCAGTGGAACTGTTTTGGTTGCATGCGAACCCTTTCGCTGTCGAACGTGATATGTATTGTGCTCCGCGATTTTATTACTCTAATCAATACATGCGCAAAAAAATTAGTAAAGTACCAAATCCCACAGAATTGAGTTCTTTTTTCGTTGTTAACTTTGTTTTAGTCTACTGTCACTATCCTCGAAATGATTTATGCTGTGGGATCGTTGTAAGCGAACATGCAACCACTTCGATTGATTTAAACAAACACACGTCTGTTGGCCTGTTTCCTCAAGGACCATCCTATATACCACCACAGCGCCATATACAACAACAAAGTGACTCACAGTTTGTATTAAGTGGTTAGAATGTTCCTAGGGCGGAGGAAAAACAACAGTTCCATGAACTATTCAGACATTCTGGGCTAGTCAAGGAAACACGGCAGCTGTCGGTACGCAGCCATTCAGCGTCTGCAGTCAAACGGTTGCGCGATTTTATGTCGAGTGACGAAACATCCACTCTACCGAATCTTCCGGTTCTGTTCTTCGTGTATCATTTCCGGGGTTTAGATAATCAAACGTGGATTAACCCATTCGATTGTTCAGAGGTACCAGGCACTCTTGATGGTCTTGGGTGTGGGTTTCACTCCCGGGGAGATTGTTAATTCCCCACGAGGTAAATGCTTTTGAACAATCGAATGGAGTTCTCCAAGCTTGATAGTCTAAATTCATTGAGCTATTCGTACAAGGTAATGACCGTCGACCGTGTAGCTCAGGGACAAGTGGTTCGAGTCCTGACAGGGACACAAAAAGTATGCACTGGTGACGACTGTCAAACAGGACGAAATAGCTGCCCAGTGCTCTTTGTCGATCATCACAAACAATTCCGCCACAAGGTTTCCCTGATAACCAGCTATACAGATTGAAGATGGAAAAACAGGACCAGTGTCGGGATGAATAAAATGTCAACACTAAGTTCGGCAGACTGAGGTGATCATAAACGGAAGGACTACCATCGCCACAGTCCAAAATTTATGTATTCCTTTTAGAGGTAAAGTTGTGCACACTAGACTGCCAGTTCGTCTTCTTCGGGACTCATCAGCAGTGTATCATCCCCCCGGGCAACCGTGAGCCAACAAGTCAGGAATCGAAGACCATGACTGCTAGGTAAATCACCTTAAGAGCATGGCCTCACCAGCCTCACGAAACGACCTGTGTTTAATCGTTGTCAACTTACAAGTCAAAGCATATAATATCCACGTAATTTCTCCATTTCTGGAAGCTGTGATTGGTCACAACACTGTTCCGAAACGAACTGAAAAATTGTCTGATCAATCAATCGATTCGCAAAAACCTATGCAGCAAAGGAAGCTCCCTCCGAGATCTCAGTGCCTTATTGTTGTCAATCTTC